CAAAGCAAAGCACTGCCGCCATGAGTGAAAAAAGAGGGCAGTATAGAGTAGGACAGTGCGGTGCAGTGCGGTGCAGTGCGGTACAGTACGGTATAGTGCGGTGCAGTGCGGTACAAAGCGGTGCAGTGCGGTACAGTGCGGTACAGTGCGGTGCAATGCGGTGCAGTGCGGTACAAAGCGGTGCAGTGCGGTGCAAAGCGATGCAGTACGGTACCGGGGGGGGGGGGGGGTTCGGAGGGCGGTGCTGATCGGGAAGAACGGGCCGAACCCGAGGCAGCGGGGGGCTGGCGACGGCGCAAATGCAGGGGCTGGCCGGCGGGCGGCAAGTAGACACGGCCACGACGGCGGCCAGGGACAGCCGCAACGGCGGCCTGGGACAGCCGCGACGACTGCCAGGGACAGCCACGACGGCGGCCAGGGACAGCCACGACGGCGGCCAGGGACAGCCGCGACGGCGGCGAGGGGCGGCCGCGACGGCAGGAGCGACCGTGAGGCGGCTGGAGACGGCAGCGGCGGTGGCTAGGGGCGGCCACGACGGCGAGGGGCGGCCGAGGGACGGCAGGAAGCAGCCGCGACGGCGGCTAGAAGCAGCCACGACGGCGGCTAGAAGCAGCCGCGACGGCTAGGGGCGGGCTCAAACGGCCAGGGGGCCTGCGAGGAGCGGGCGCGAAACGGCCAGGGCGCTGACTAGGAGAGGCTCAACGGCCAGGGGGCCGGCTAGGGACGAGCGTGAACGGCCAGGGGGCCGGCTAGGGACGGGCGCGAACGGCCATGGGGCCGGCTAGGGCGAGCGCGACGGTCAGGGGGGCCGGCTAGGAGCGATCGCGATGGCCAGGGGGCCGGCTAGGGGCGAGCGCGACGGTCAGGGGCCGGCTAGGAGCGATCGCGTTTGGCAGGGGCCGGCTAGGAGCGGGTGCGACGACCAGGCGGCCAGCTAGAGACGGGTGCGACGGCTAGGGGGGCGGCAAAGGGCGAGCGCGACAGCCAGGGGGCCAGCTAGGGCCGGGCGCGAACGGTCAGGGGTCGGCTAAGGACGGGCGCGATGGTCAGAGGGCCGGCTAGGAGCGATCACGACGGTCAGGGGGCCGGCTAGGAGCGGGCGCGACGTCCAGGGAGCCAGCTAGAGACGGGCGCGAACGACCAGGGGTGCGGCTAGGGACGAGCGCGAACGGCCAGGGGGCCGGCTAGGGACGGGCGCGAACGGCCAGGGGGGCCGGCTAGGGACGAGCGCGACGGCCAGGGGGCCGGCTAGGAATGTAGGGGCGGAAGCGTGAGCGGGCTAAGGGGGGATCTAACCTACTATGATACTATATCAAAAAGAAAATGATTCAAGTAGAATGTGTGTGTACAAGGATATATAGACTAGGGTGTTGTACCCTCCAAGGCACAATCCAGTATAGTCTACAGTAACAACCTAAGTTACATTTGACACATAGCAACAAACCTCCAAGTCGTCGTCATCCAAGGGCTCGTAATCATCGAGCTCCTCCTCCCCCTGGGTTACTATGGTGCCATTGACCATCCTGTTCTTCGCAAAACCCGCATGCAACTTTCGCACCGTGTTGTAGTTGCTCGTGACATAGACTAGGTCCGCAAGTTGTTTCGGCCCAAGACGATTGCGGCGCATGGCATGGACCGATTCCCAAGCGGACCAAATGGTCTCGCATGTGGATGCAGAGACACATTGTTTGAGGACTCTGCAAGCAAGCTTGGCGAGGTGAGGGCAGTCACTACCATTGAACCGCCACCAATGCACTAGGTCCAACTTCCCTTTTTGAATGAGATCACTCTCTTTGCGTGCCTTTTGATCGCCGATTTTCCCTGTGCTGTGGAGGTAAATCTCAAGCTCCTCCTCAACAATAGTGGCCAGGGGCTTGGAATCACCCTTCGCATTGATGATCTCCACGCCGTCATAGTATTCTCTGACGAATTGAGTAAAGATGTTGTTGCACTCGTTATCCTGCCCAAAAATTTCGGCAAACTGGTTGGGCGGATACAAAATCCGCCCAACGACGTGAAGCGCACAGTTGATGTTGTCATTCCACCTGTTGCACACCGCCTTGGCAATGGCTTTCTTCTCCCCCACCCGGAGATCGCCACATGCCGCAATGACTGACTCCTCGAGATCCAGCATCTTCTCATAAATCAGCCCCATGACCTCCTGGTTCCCGTCAACTTCCCTCAGTAGTTTGTACACCGGCTCCAGCACCTTCATCACCCGCTCGACTCCCTTCCATAACTCGTTATCCTTAACTTTCTCTTTCGCCCACGTCATCTTCTCCTTCTTCGCAGCAAAATCGCTCCACCCCTTCGTCCCCATTATCTTGTTCAACACCTCGCGCACTTCGACAAGGGGTTCCAGCGCAATGAAGTTCGTACCGAAACGTGTTCCCGCATGCTTCAGTAAGACGAGGGACTTTTGCTCACGCAAGCGACCCGTCATCCACTGAGCATTCTTCAATGTCGAGATCAACCGCTGCGCGTCCTCGATAGTAGGCACTGCCCAACCTTGGCCGCCGATGTCTTTCATGAGATTGTTGAGTGAGTGCGCAGCGCAACGGATGTACTCCACGTTCGGGTATTCGGCCTTGATGATCGTTGCCGCACTGATGTTGTTGCTCGCGTCGTCCATGAGAAGCCCCACGACGTTTTCACTGCCGACCATCTCGATCGCCGCCTTAAGGTGCCCGGCAATGAATGCTCCGGACTTGATTTCCGTGCCGCAGTCCACGCCGAAGAGGAAGACCGATGCGTACGTGTTGACCGCCAAGAAGTTGTGTTGTGGACGGTCGACACCGTCCGTCCACCCATCACTCGCGATGCACACGCCCACCTTGCTCCAAGACTCCTTGACCGATTTCAACGCGTTGTCAGTGTTCGTCTTGCACTCTTCCAAAAGGTGTCCCATTATCAACTTTGCGGCCGGGCGGCGTGAAATTCGGACCTGCAGCCGTAACCATCTTGACCATGTTCTTGAAGGCCTCGTGCTCTGCAACATTGGGAGGAATGCGACAGACGTGGAAGAACGTGGCGCTCGCCTGCTGCGCCTTCGCCACGTCGGTCGGCGTAGGGCGATTGTCGGTGAAGATGTGCTGCGTCGTTTGACGCTTGCGCGCCACTGTGTTGGAGCCTGCACCGGAGTCTCCTTCCCCATCACCATTGCCATCGTCATCCCCCCCGCCAAACGCGCGCATGGTGCGTTGCGTAGCTCCCCTACGCAACTCGTTCTCCCGCATTTTGGTCGCGACGTAATTACGAACAAGAGTTTTCGCCTCGGGGGTTATTTTCCTGCATGCCGCAATTCCGCCACCTGATCCTAGAAGATGGGATTGCGCACGGCTCACATTGAGCGGCCACTTCCCGCGGCAAAAAACGCACGTCTTAGGAATCTTAGAATCTGACTTCCTTCCCGCCTTCGGGAACCTCAAAATAACGCCAAATAGCGTGCTCGGCATTCTGCTCCATTAGCAAAATGGTAGAGAAGGAAGCTAAAAAGAGTGCGTTCTTGGAGAGCTAGACGGCATAAAATTGCGCTGAAGATTAGCCAAGTTTCTGCCGATTTAAGTAGCGATCTGAAATTCAAGAGGTGCGCTGATTACGACGAGCCGCAATTTGAGAAGTTCCATCGCAACCCACCTGGTCAATGATCCACGCGAAAGCGCGTGGATTGCTGTTGTGACGAATGTGCAGAAATTCGGTGGCCAACGATTGGCTGATCACCAATTTGCGACTTTCGTCCCAATTTCGTAATTTCGCAGCGAGGGACTAACGAAACTGGGTGGCGAGGTGGCAACGTTGACTTGGCCGTCGTCAATCTTTTGCCAGTCAACGCACGAAACACCCACCCACTTCCCCACAAAACTAACGCGCACAGCTAACCCCCTGCCTCCCCATCTCCCATCTCGTCATACCTAAATTGTCTCGCCACCTCCCTTCCGCAAGTCTAGAACGACTTACCCGTCTAACTCCTTAGAAGTCTGTGAACCCAGAGCCTCTCCTCCACGTAGCTTATGCAAATCGCGGGCATAACGTAGGGCGATCTCCCTACCGATTTCAACGTGCTGGTTTTTGTTAATACTTGAGCAGTGGACATTAGCCCGCGATTCGAAGATTTCAGGATTTTACCCGGCGAATTTTTTTTCCCTGCCCGGAAATACGTACGCGTAATTACGCGTACGTAAACGTAAACGTAACGTTACGTTTACGCGGCTGTCTGGGCGTAAGGGCCCAACTAAGCTTCGTTCCAGGCTTAGGGGGACTTGCTTGTGTTTTTGGCAAGTCGTGGACCCTCTGGCCCTCTCTTTTCTCTCTTCGCAAAACGTTGTTGTGCCACCACTCGCAAGGTCCATTCATTCTGCGCCCCCCCTCTGCCATCATTATTCTTGCAACGTTGTTGTTCTTTCGCCTCCCTGGCAACGATACAGCACCTTTGAATCTTGGTTCTATGTGGGACATGCGCTTTAGAGCCGCTGTGCACATTCCTGGACATGTCAGAGCATTAACAATGTCAGTCAGGGAAGGAATGTTGCAATCGCTCTGCAAAGCTTGCAACAATCAGCAACAATTTAAAGCATCAAAAGAGACGCCGATAGGCATTATAACCCACACATTAAAATCCTCCACATGCTTGTGTTGCAGGTGTCGGAGCACCTGAGACGACCGAACCACGAAAACGGAAACAAATTGTGCGAGATTGAGCACATGCTAGTAACAGAGTAGGCTAAAGTCAATATGACACACAGAAATGTACAAGTAGGAAGTAAAACCGAGAGCATGCTCGGTAAAACAAGATGAGGCTCACTGCAACAGGTTATGAAAAAATAAAAAACAAGATGCGACGAGAGAGTTAAGTGTGTAAGGGCATGCTGAGCTGGCACACCTGTGGTGAAGTTCCAGGACCAGATGGTGTGCGCCTGGGGCTGGCTGCCTGAGAGAGCAACAAAGCCGAAGAGGAAGAGAGAGTCCGATGAAGTGGGCTTGAGAATGGAGCAGAGAGACACGCTTGCTGTGAGGGTGGGGGTGAGGGGCTGCACGGGGTCGGAGGAGAGGAAGACTCGGAGAGTGCCGCCGCTGGTGGGGTCGTAGTGGATCCAGGCGTGCTTGGTTTGGGCGTCGTTGAGGATGAGAGGGGCTGTTGCAGAGGCGAGGGACACAGGTGAGCCGCCCACATTGACGCCCACGTGGTTGTCGTTGGGGTCGCTGTGCTTCACACTCAGCACCGAGTCAAACTCGACTCCCACACTCCGCCGCCCCATCCCGCCCAGCCCCGCACTCGCCCCTTTTTCAGAAGTAGCTGCTGCCACCACAAAGGCCAGGCCCTCCCCACCACTCCCCTGATCCCCTGGAGTCATAATAAAGCTGAAAGCAGCAAGGAAGCCCAGCTCTGTTCCACAGCGAGAGCGTTTATCAGGGAAAAAGAATAATCTCAGGGCGGGAGAGGCAAACGCTGCAGCCTGCTGGTTGGGCGCCCCTGCTGTGAGCAGAATGGAGCCGTTGGAAAGCACAGAGGTAGAGCCCCGCAGAGACACATAGGCAGAGCCCGACTCCAGAGATGCCCCTGCGGCTGCATGTGCAAGGAAGGGAAACAGCAGAGCAGGTTGAGGGGAACCAGTGTGTCCGCTGTGCTGGGATGTATGCTGCTAGCTGGACAGGGACCGTTGGCAATGGAAACCTTCTCATTGTTGCAAAGCAGACACACATAGTGAAACAAGTGACTGTAGTTTATAAGATGGCACACACAAACCGCTTTTGAAAAATATGTGCTCTACTTCCCTAGAGGTCATTGGAAGGCACACATTCATGAAACAAGTGCCAGTGGTTTATCAAAAGGTGCAAAAGGTGCAACAAGTACCGTATAGATCGAGATCCTATTGAACAACCGTTGGATATGATTAATACGGTCGAAAGCTGTCTTTTGCGACTGGTGCAAAAAAAACGGTAGTTTAATACTGTCGTTTGACTCTGGTTTGCTTTACATCGAACCACGCAAACAGGTGGAGTGTACAAGACAAAAAAGGATTATGAAAGGAGGTGTGGGAGGACGAGGATGATGTTTTAGATGCATGTTGGCTGTCGCCGCCACCAAGCCCTCTGTTTCCCACGTTTTTTTTTTTGGTTTCTACAAAAATAAAAATCTAACAAAAAAACGGCAGATTTTCCATAAATCTGCCGTGGGAAATGACCGTATAAAACGGACCGTATAATACAGAAACCAGATTTTTTTGCACCTTGCAACTGACACAACAAGAAACAGTGAATGGGTAGTAGAAGTGAACCGAAGTGAGTTGCGTGTGCAGAGGACACGCACCTCCAGGCACACAGGCATTGGTGTCGCTGCGGTTTAACATGTAGTTGGGATCGCACACACACTCCCCTGCTCCAGTGAAGTCATCCACAGAACAGTCGCCATGCCCCCCACACACAGGGCCAGCAGCACCGATCTCAACCCCACAGAATGCAGCACAGGCGGCAGCGGGCCTCGGGGCATGCCTTTGGCCGCAAACGCGCAGGTCAGTGGAGAGGCAGTTGGCATCGGCGGTCCATCTGACAGCGGAGCAGTTCGTGAACTTGACCTGGCCGTGAGAGAAGAAGTTGTTGTTCACCAAGTAATCCATGATCTGGGGCGTGGCAGGGCTGGGCAGACGCCCGGAAAACTGATTGTAGCCCAGGTGTCTGCAAGGTGACATGGGAAGGGGGAGGGAGGAGGGAGGAGGGAGGAGGGAGGGAGGAGGGAGGGAGGAGGGAGGTGGGAGGTACCTTTTGAGTAGAAAAGGAGGTAGACAGACTTGGTAGTACTCGGAGGTCTCAGGCCCCAATAAAGGAGGCATAAAGCAGAACACCCACAGGGTGCGGAGGTTCTTCATGGTTTGTATGATGTGGTCAATGGGTCCCGAGAGCTGGTTGTACCTCAGCTGGCTGAGCAGCACATTACAATCCATGACACACATGCACACACCCATGGGTAGCAACGCAAGGGAAGAGAGCATGGAGTTGGGTCCATTAGAAGTAGAAGGCTCCGGTTTGAAGAGAGGCAGAAAATGGTTTTGGAGCTGTGCTGAAAAGATCAAACATTGTAGCATCAGTACAGCAGTTGCCATGCCAGAATTTGGAAAGGCTTCAACCATGGGCAGCTGCAAGGGATTTGTTGAATAAGACAAGGAGAAGCAGCACGGGGCACAGAAGATTGGTTTGCTTGCAGACCCTTGCACTCATGCTTGTTCAAAAGAGAGGTACAAGATTTGAAGCTTGGATAGATTGCTGAGGGTGCTCGGGACGGTCCCAGATAACGAATTGAACTGGAGGGTCCTGCACACACACGTGCTCATTGCAGCACCGCATTGGTCCATGGGAGTGTAAGTTGCACAACATCCAGAATTCTGTGTCATAACGAACGATTGGCATGGTGTGTGGCAGCCCATGAGCATGGTGGTTGCAGTCATACACGAGGGATAGGTTGGTGAGCTTCCCAATGGCTGTCGGTATGGACCCAGAGAAATCGTTGGCCGATAACATCCTGCTGACATGAATGCACAAGAGGATGAAGGTTTCACGCTGATGAGAGAGGCTGAAAGGATGAGAGAGGCTGAAAGGATGATGTCGCTTAGCATGGTTCTCCCCGCAAACCCTCATATTCTTCAAGCCCGGCTTCTTCAGCACCTTCCCCTTTTTCCTCTGATACGTGATTGTCACTGCCTTCTCCTGCTTCGCCTGTCCTTTCTCCGCTTCCCCCTTTTCTTGCCGCGACAGACCATCCACGTGCTGCAGGGTCTTGCCTGGTCTATGCTTTACTTCGAAGTCGAACTCCTGCAGACGCATTGCCCAACGCGCATTCCTACCCTTCAGAGTTTGATTCCTCATCAGCCAGAGCAACGGCTGATGGTCGGTTACTAGGGTGAATCTTCGCCCCTGCAGGTATGGTCGAAACAACTCCACTGCCCATACTGCCGCTAGCCCCTCTCCCTCATATGAACTGTAGTTACTCTCCGCTGGGCTGCATGACCGGCTGGCGTAAGCCACCACCCTCTCTATCCCCCTTTCCTTCTGACACAGCACTGCCCCCATGCCGCTGCTGCTCCAGTCCGTATATAGCAAGAATGGTTCCTCGGGGTCTGGCAGCTTCAGCATGGGGGCCGTCTTCACAGCCTTCTTCAACGCCCGCCACGCCTCCTCTTGCTCTCTCCCCCAACTCCATGCCGTATCTTCTCTCAGCAGCAGATTAAGTGGCCTGGCCGTCTTACTGAAGTTCGGGACAAACTTTCGATAATAGTTGAGAAAGCCCAGCTGCGCCCGAAGGGTGTTGCGATCCGTGGGTGCCTTCAGCCGATCCACAACTTCTACCTTCACCTGCTGGACCGACAGCCCCCCTTTTCCCACCTGAAACCCCAGGTACGTCACGGTCGTCACCCCGAACGAGCACTTCCCCGGGTGGCAGGTCAGTCCGGCCTCCTGCAAGGCCGCCAGCGTCTTGGCGACGTCCTTCACATGCTGTTCTCCGTCCTTGCTGTGGATCACTACATTGTCGATGTAGCATAAGGCGCAGGGGATGTTCTGCAGTACCTGGTCCATAACTCTCTGGAACTTTGGCGAGGCATTTTTCAGTCCGAACGGCATGAAGTTCCATTCATACAGGCGGTCCGGTCCATGGAAGGCTGTCTTCGCCTTATCTTCTTCTCGGATGGGTATCTGGTTAAAGCCTTGCCTCAAATCCAGCGTGGAGTAGACCCTGCTCTCCGCCAGCCTATCAAATATTTCCTCGGCCATTGGCATCGGATACCTGTCGCTCTTGGTGATCTGATTCAGCCCCCTATAATCTCCACACATCCTCCTGGCCAGCATCTCTCCCGTTAGGTCCTTCCTTGCCGCCACCACCGTCGCCGCTGCGTACTCCGAAGTTGACTCACGAATCAGGCCGGCTTCTAGGAGCTCTCTACACTTGTCCACAGCTATGTCTCTATCCCCAGGGCTAAGCCGCCGCCTTCGCTGATACACTGGTGCGTCGCTTTGTAGTTCGATCGCCATCTCTGCCTTATTGCACCTACCCAGTTCCTGCAGGGAGTAGGCGAAAGCTCCCCGGGCCCCCTCTAGCACCTTCAGCATCTGCTTCTTCTGATCATCATTCAGCCCGTCACCCATGCTCCAAGCATTCTCTCCCTGTCCCTTTGGCTCTGCCTGTCTTATGTCTCCCCCTAGGATTCCTGCCGACTCTTCATTCCCCTCCTCCGCTTCCTCTGGTTCTTGTCTGGCCATGAGGCTGAGCCCCCTTGCATTTAGCAGTCGCTCTCGGCGTTCCCTCTCAGCCTGCATCTGTCCTTTCCAGTACCACCACTCTTCTGCCGTCTTGAAGGCCTTTTCTGGTTCCTGCTCTAGCATCTCCTCTATATCCCTCCACCTCCACATCATTAGTAGCTGAGCCCTCATCCCTTCTTGTCTCTGCTCTGCCCGGTACAGCAGCCAGACCAGTGCATGCTGGTCTATCGCTCCTCCCAATGCTTTCCTCCGGGCCTCTTCTGAGATCCTGTCTGCAGCAGTGGCGTTCCTCAGGTACCCCATGGCTCTCTCCCGCTCCACCGCCCACGGCTCCTCCCACGCTCCCGTCACAATGTCCTGTACCATGCCCGGCCCTGGCTTTCCATTTTCCATCCGGAACGCATAGCTGCCTGGTGTGGCCACCAGCGTCGGCCAGGCCTGTCTTGGTGCCCCCACCTCATTGCATGGGAATTGATTCCTCGCGTCTGGGGTAGTCACCAGTGCTGGCCTTCTCCCCGGCTCCAGGATGTCTTGGACTAGTCTCGGCACGGGTCTCTGCTAGACATGATCAAAACGCGATTGCGATTTAAATTGCATCGCATGCAGGTGCGATGTTTAAAAAAGCGATGCGAATCTAAGTCGCATCGCGCGATTTATTTTTCAGAAAAAATAAAATCGCACATCGCATTTTACCCGCGATGTATTAATAAATCGCATGCGATATTTAATTAAATCGCAAAATGCGATTTTAAATCGCATCGCGTTTTAAAACAGAATTAAAAAACACCCCAAAAAAACAGAAAAAAACCATGGCTGCGGGGAAATTGACTCACGGGCAGTCGTAAGCTAGAGTGCAAATAACCAGTGTGGTTTCGTAGTGGGTTTCAGAGTGGGTTTCAGTGCAATATCGCGCGCGATTTTTTAAAAATCGCATATCGCATTTAAATCGCGTTTTTTAAGCGCGATTAAAATGCGATTAAAATTAAATCGCGCGATATCAATTCATCGCATCGCGCGATGATTAAAAAAAAAAAAAAACATCGCCATCGCAAAAACGCGATTAAATGCGATGCGATGCGATTTTTTTTGCCCATGTCTAGTCTCTGCATCCGCCCTAACTGGTCCCTCAGCACCGGCTCCGGAATCATGTTCTGCCAGTAGCGGCGAACTCTCCTAGCCTTTGACCCCATCTGCACGGCATCCCAGGCTACTCCGTGGCCGAGTTCTTCGGTGACCAACTTGTGCGCCTCTCTGACTAGGGCCCTCGGGTCCTCGGCTACATCCAAGTTCTCCACGATATATGAGAAAGGTCCTTGTCGCCGTTTGATCATCTTCATCACCCTAATCAATTCACGAAACAGTGCTGTCCGAGGGTCCACCAGCCCCTGTCCCTTGCCTGCTCTCGATAGCCCCTGACATTCCCACCCAGCTACTAGCAGGTCCACCTGCCCCCAGCTTTCCACCACCTCCTCGGTGATAGCTCTCACGTCCTGAACTTCCTCGGCTTCCGCCTCTGTTTTCTTGATCACTGACATCGGCAGGCGGTCCGGATACAGCTCATGTAGGAGGCGCGCGTGGTGGTAGGCCATCTGCCTGACCTCGGCTTGCTTTTCCACATACACCCATCGCTGCACTGTCAGTCCTGTGCGAATGCAGGCCGCCAACCCCGGCCCTATTCCCCCGAACATCTCCACTCCACCAACGTCACTGATCTGTTGAATGTCTCGAAGTCGTACGTCGGTTCTGTAAGCCCCTTGGACTCTCTGTAGTTCGCCACGCTGGGGCCCGCTGCTTCCTCCCATCTCCTCCTTTCTGCAAGTTTTTCCAAGTACACCCCAGCATCTTCGAATCGCTGTTCTGGTACTCGATCACTCGTAGGCTCCTTGTACTCGGGGCGCCCTCGCAGAAAGCGGGCAGGCAGGATCGCGGCGGTGTGCTCGTCTCTCTGCACTTCCGAATCCCAGTAGCGGGGCTGATACTGCACCTTCTCCGCCCACGTGTCGACCACCGCCCCAACCATATACAGGAGATCCATGCCCAGCAGGAGATCGTAATCGTCTGAATCTGAAACCAGGCAATGGACTCGGATCCGGGCTTCGTCCTCGGTTCCAGGTGCCAATACCACCTCCTGCGGTTTCAGCGACCTCGGCAGCCACTTGCCCACCCCTCCCTCCGCCGTCTGGATGCGCACCCCCTCGGGCGTTACATTCTCCTCTTGGTGTAACCCCAGCCGCTCCGCTAAGCGCCTTCCCACCAGGACTTGGGAAGCCCCGGTATCTATGATAGTCGTCCCAGGGTACTTGCCGTCCACTGCAACTGCCCCCTCCAGCGCCTCTACCACGCACGGCCGTGCCGCCATCCGCTCGAATGGGTGTCGCATTGGTTCATGCCTCCCTCGAGCCCGTCTCACCGCTTCCTCCACTGCCTCAGCCGCCCTCTCCACAGAGCGATCCACTAGCGCCCTCGGGCCGCTGCGTCCCGGGGTTCTGGTACGTCTGCCATCCACCCCCCCACTACGCAGTCCCAGTTCCTCACGGCTTCGTCCGCTGTCGGAGGCCATGAACAACGGCTCCTCTTCACCCTCATCCTCTGAATCCACCGGACTCCGAGCCATGAGGTTCTCTCGGCCTTCCTCTTCCTCCCCCTCTCCTTCGGCTGCCTTCAGCCGCCTCAGTTCTTCTTCCAGAGCTTCGATCCGGTTGCGGCGTCCCACCCGGCTCCCTTCCTCCCTCTGTTTGGTGTAGCAGTTCTCCGCCCCATGACCCCTGCGCTGGCAGTATGTACATGTCTGAAGCTTAGGTCAGTCCCGCTTAAAATGTCCCGGTTCCCGGCACTTGTAGCACACAGGCTCCTCTCACGATGGCGGCGTGGCGCTCCTTGCCCTCCGAGGTTTCCCCGAGACTCCCTACTCTCCTTCTTTTCTTCATCGTCCTCTTCGCTCCCGGCCATCATCGCGCCGCCCCAGGTTACTCCCTTCCGCTCGCGTTCCCTGGTTCTGCGGTCCACCTTCCTTCCCATGTCATAAAGACTTAGCGACTGCTCATGGCGCTACGCGATGTCATATGCTTGCCGAAGCGTGGCGTTAGGACCCAAGTCGTAAGTCCGGTCTCTCACCGTGCGGGCCAGATCCCCCGATAATCCATCCATGAACTTCGCCACCACAATCCTGGGCTCGTTGCAGCCGATGTCCTCTGCTAGCTGGTCCACTCGGCGATAGTAGGTGAGTAGCGATTCTCGCGGAGCCCTCCTCAACTGCTCGAACTCTCGCAGTCGCGCCGGCGTCTGGGTAGGGAAGTGGACCTGCAGTTCTGCCAGGAACTGCTCCGTCGGATCGAGCAGCTTCACCACCCTCCCTTCCGCATCGTGGCGCACCCTTCCCGAGGCATCCCTCTCTTCTTCCTCCAGCAGGGTATCGCGGACTTCCAGGAAGAACGCTTCGGCTTCGCCCGCCAACGTATTCCCTAAGGAGCGGAAAAAGTGCCTGAGATCCAATCCGTCCAGCTCCCAGCAATATTTCTCACTCCTGACGTGCATCGCATACGCCTTGAAGCGGGGCCCGGTCTCTTGATCTCCAGTGAATCGCGCCGGCACTTCCACTTTCGGCAGGCTGGTGTAGCGATACCTCGCTCCCTCATCCCACAGAGAACGTCGCGAGCTTCCTGCCCGGGGTAGGCTACCTGCACTCGCCATTTCCGCCGCCTGTCCCGCGTTTGCGCCCCGACCTGCCGGTGGAATCCTTCCGCTGGCATGGCAATCCGCGCGCATCGCAAAGCCGCTGGAAGCACGAAGCTCCTCCGCGCTTCTCTGCTCATCGGGTCCCGGCTCGCGCCGTTCCTCGCTCGCATCTCCTCGAGCGACCGCGGGCTCATCAGCGCCCCTCTCTTCCCCTACGTCGACGTGAGGACCTTCACCCTCCCCACCCGACGGATCCTCAACCCCGGGCAGCCGCGCTCCGCTCCGCAGCGACATGCCCGCCATTAGACTTCTGTTTGTAAGAAGATCTCCACAAAAGCTCTTCTTAACTCAATACCCACCCTGTCTGGCCTCTCTACATAGTTCTAGCTTATGCTCCTGAATGAATCCACTACTCACAGGGCATACACGCTTTCCTATGATCTCGAGAGAACAAACAGAAGTAGCTACACAACTACGCACACGCAGTTTTGTGGCTACCTCCAGGCGGATTCACTCAGGAGCGCTCGCCCCTCCCTCCCATGCTTCCCGCCGCAAACCGTTTCGGGTTTTCTTCCGCCGTGATGGCTCCCTGCCGCTTTGCCATCGACACTGCCCCTCGCCGCACTGCATGCCTTCCCCCTTCACCTTTCTTGCCACCGCTTAGCTGTTCCCAACTGCATGCCCTCCTGCCAACTAGCGAATCGCTCCTCTGCTCCCCATCCTCGATTTGGACACCCATCACTGTACAACCTCTTTTACCGACATCGCCTGTACACCACTTTCTATCCCCAACTCTTTTCGCTTAACCCTCTCAAGTTGTCCCGCGAATTGTCAAAACACATTCATTATGACAATTCGCGCGACAATGAGAGAGGCTGAAAGGATGAGAGAGGCTGAAGGGATGAGAGAGGCTGAAAGGATGAGAGAGGCTGAAAGGATGAGAGAGGCTGAAAGGATGAGAGAGGCTGAAAGGATGAGAGAGGCTGAAAGGATGAGAGAGGCTGAAAGGATGTGAAAGCAACTAGGGAGATGCAGGGATAGCATAGTGAGCAACTTGTTGCAAGGCAACTGTGCCTCCGTCACATGAAAACATCTCCATCTGGCATACGTCGACAAGCTAGTTGGCATGACATGCATCACCAGGCCAGTAGCATCTTTTCAATAGGGCACCTCGTGCAGCTCAGAAGCATCATTGCTCATGGTGACCGTTGAACTCTCTCTCTTAGACCTACAGACGGTAAAACAAAACAACCCACCCAGGGAATACTCAGCGCGCCCATTCAAGTGATGCCTGGAATGGAATTGATGATGGTGGGCTGCCAGCGACCTGCTGCTGGACCACATGGTAGGGTTGATTCCTTACAGGTCCTGGAGATGCACAAGGTCGCCCAAAGAAGCCGGTATGCTTCCTGACAGGCGGTTCCAACTGAGACATCTGACACGAGCACGATGTGCAACATAAGACGGCATGATGTGCAACATAGGAGGGCATGGTGCGCAAGAGGAATGAGCAGGGTCTGAAACATGAGTAAGGGAAACATGTGCACGCTGGGTGATTCAGAATAACATGTGAGACATGTGCAAAATTAAGCCCAAGGCGGGCAAGAGTAACTTTGGAGAAAGAGCGCACTATGGCAGAGAAAACAGGGTGAATGAGATGGTGAAGGGGCTAAAGAACCTCAGAGCACATAGAATACTAAATGGTGAGGAAAGCTAGTGTCTGCGACTGGTCTGCATATCGGTCACATGCCATGCTCTTGACGTGAGTTCAAACTTGGCTGGAAACTGTTGTCCAGTAGGATCTTGGTTGGAACTTGGAAGTGTTGACCTTGCCAGAGTATATGTAAAACATAACAGACGAAACATGAGAGATGTGTGGCACATGCGAGGTAAAACATATGGCCGTTTTTTCCCCTTTGAGAGCGTATGGTACGGTACTGAATTAAGCGGCCGTATAATACGAGAAAAACTCTTGACTATTTTCTTTGGTAAAAGAATTCGGCCGATTTAGAAAAGAACAGCAAAATATACCGGCAACATGCGCAGATCTGGCATTTTGCCTGCTAAAATGTGCCGGATCCCTCGTTTTGGTGGACGAAATGTGCGGATCTGACATTTCGCCCGCCAAAATGCGCAGATCTGGCATTTCTCCCGCCAAAATGTGCGGATCTCACGTTTTGGCGGACGAAATGCGCGGACCCGCTGGACGTTTAGGACTTAGAAAGAAAAAAACCCCGGAACACTCTATTGAAGATTCGGCGTTTTTTCCCAAAATCACCGGAAAAAACCATCGGAAAAAAACTGCCTGCCGAAATTTTGCACCTTGGGCACTTGGTCACCTACAGGCTTGAAGGTTCTGCAGCCGATGCCAGGGATGCTGGAATTGACCCCCTCAGTTGGTTGACACATAACAAACTAGGGAAGGGTATGGACAGGCCATAGACCATGGGGCTTCATTGGATCCTCAAAACCAGCATGGCACATCGAGCTAAGTGTGCGAGGGACAGTAAACCAGTTGACTATGAGTCATGACTATGAGCCCAAGAGAGAGCCTTACAGGTCGTTGAGAGCAGAGAGGGCTCCAAGTGACTCTGGGATGGATCCTGTCAGCTGATTCTCATACAGTGAGCTGGTGCAGGGGAGCATCCCCGAACGGACACGCAGATGAAGGATGGCACGCAGGAGATAGAAGGAAGGATGAGGGGAGACGGAAGACAGAGTGCGTAGAAGCAGTGGAAACTAGACATGGGATTTTTTTTTTTTTTTTTTGCATCGCATCGCATTTAATCGCGTTTTAACGATTGCGTTTTTTTTTTTTTTTTTTTTTTTTTTTTTTTTTTTTAATCATCGCACGATGCGATGAATTAATATCGCGCGATTTAATTTAAATCGCGCTTTAAAAAAACCCGATTTAAATACGATATCCGATTTTTTAAAAATCGTGCGCGATGTTGCACTGAAACCCACTCTGAAACCCACTACGAAACCACACTAGTTATTTTGCACTCTAGCTTACAACTGCCCCGTGATACAATTTCCCGGCAACCATGGTTTTTTTCTGGTATTTTGGGGTGTTTTTTTATTCTGTTTTAAAACGCGATGCGATTTAAAATCGCATCGCGCGATTTAAATAAATACCGCATGCGGTTTTAATATTCATCGCGCGCAAAACGCGATGTGCGATTTTTTTTTTTTTTTCAGAAATTAAATCACGCGATGCGATTTAAAATTGCATCGCATTTGATTAAATCACCCCCCAATGCGATGCGATTTAAATCGCAATCGCATTTTGCCCATGTCTACTGGAAACAAAGGGAGCAAAAGGTGCCACATGAAGCCTGTAGTACCATCACTGCCCGTGCAAGGAAGCCGGACACGGAACCTCAGAAAATGAAGACAACAGAAAAAAATCTCAATCAGACACACAGAACACAAAACCCAGACACACAAATCAGCAATCCGGGCGCATGGCATCAACTTAGATGAAAGATGGCCTCTGGTTAATGCTTAGTGTCCTTGGAATTTGCCTCATGACAGGCCTCTCAGTCTTCAGATCAAACGCCCTTGCTGGAATTGGCTGAGCAGGAACACCACAAGCTGCAGCATAAATGCGATTCGTCACAGCAAACAAATGCAAACTACAAGAAGACAATTAGCATTTTTAGATTTCTGGATATGCTGTGCCTCACGTTACGTGTCGTGTAACATGTGTTAATCGTTTTCGTTCGTATATCTGCAATTTAACTGTCCTTTGCACGAACTGTCAGTGACACCTACCCACAAACTGATCTCCACCGAATGCTCACCAATGAGTCCCATGTTCCTTCACTCCCTCGTTCCTGGAGGTTTCCTTTTCGGTAAGTAGGATGTCACACCATCATTCCACCAACCAATCTTAGCGCCTTCTCACCACCTCTAGGTGAAGATTTTGTTGCAGGCTGCAGGGGGGCAGCGAATTATCACCATCACCATCCTCATCATCGTCATCGTCATCGTCATCGTCATCGTCATCGTCATCGTCATCGTCATCGGCATCGGCATCGGCATCGATCGGCATCGGCATCGGCATCGGCATCGGCATCGGCATCGGCATCGGCATCGGCATCGGCATCGGCATCGGCACCATCACCATCACCATCACCACCATCACCATCACCATCACCATCACCATCACCATCATCACCATCACCATCACCATCATCATCATCATCATCATCATCATCATCATCATCATCATCATCATCATCATCATCATCATCATCATCATCATCATCATCATCATCATCATCATCATCATCATCATCATCATCATCATCATCATCATCATTTTTCAATCATCATCCCCCCAAACCACACACATTGATGTGGGCAATTCCCAGCATTGGTTCCTTGGCATAGCATGGCCCAAGGGTCTCACAGGTATAGTGAGGCGCTGCAGGCAACGAGAGAGTCGGGAATGGGGCCAGTGAGCTGGTTGTAGCTTAGAGCCCTGCGGTTGACAGATCGATACATGCACAGCATGAACAAGTACGGGGGGCTAATTCTACAAATGGACAATAAACATTCCACAAATCGTGTACAAGGATATTGGGAAACGGTCCAAAGTTTCTGTCAACCTCTCTCACAAGCAGATACGTTCCTGCCAGATACTTTGCTATCATACAAGTACTCCATGAAGGCGATGTTGCCGATGGACGAAGGAATACTTCCTGTGAATAGGTTCTTCTCAAGGTTTCTGCATGTGCAATAGGCAGAGAAAGTGGGGTTGTTAATATACTAGGGAGGCCATCATGATGTGACAGAATGGCCTGCAACGTTGCTTAAAAATAGTTATATCTGTACAACAAAACGCAAAGGCGTGCGCAAATTGTACTGTTACTCGAGCTGAAAATAGTTGAGATAACTTTAAGAGGAGCGCCTCCAATAGACACGAGCAAAACCGGGTAATTACCCGACCCGACCCGGTTTTTCCCTACCCGCAATCGGGTCCGGGTCGGGTCGGGTCGGGTAATTTCCGGGTAATGTTTGGAGGTCTGTTACTCGACCCGACATTTTAATACCGGGTAATTGGGTACCCGTCTGTCAGGTCGGGTATACCCGACCCGCATTTAATTGAAGTCGGTAATATTACCCGGGTACCCTTAGGTGGCTGTAAAATTCAGCAAACACAGAGTAACAAACCCAAAGTCGGGTCGGGTACCCGTGACCCGACGAGTAATAAATTACCCGACATTTCGGGTAATTCTCGGGTAACGGGTATGCATTACCCGGCCCGAGTACCCGACCCGACCCGGCCGGGTAATTCGACAAAATCCTATTACCCGACCCGGCCAAAATGTCGGTCGGGTCGGGTACCCGCGACCCGACCGGGTAAAATGCTCAAGTCTAGCCTCCAATGTCAGATTCCACATAGCTGCTTTACTGGAGGATGGGGACGTGCCTCACCATGGCAGCATTCCATTCCAATAGAAGTGTGTGCAACAACCACACTTGGCTCTCTAATCTTTCCCTGAAAGACTATATACCCCCTTCAAACTCCAGCTGAAGCTATCGGGTAAAATTATTTGAACCACATTCACAACGCCATGTAGGCTTGAGCAACGGGTCGGTTCGGGTCGAGTAACCCGACCCGAACCCGACTTTTTGACGGGTCGGGTCAGGTTTCCCCTAGGCAGAACCCGACCCGTAGGGTTTGATTTTTTACCCGTCGGGTCGGGTCAACCCGACCCGAACCCGACATGTACGGGTTCGGGTGAACCGGACATGTCGGTTCGACCCGACCCGAGTTCGGGTATACATCGTTGGGTTGACCCGACCCAACTCGACCCGAACTCGGGTCGCGCCTTGAACCGACGCGATCTGCGCGACCAGAGTTGCGCAGATCTGGAAAGTCTGATTATTTGGTCGAATTTTCGACCAAATGGGTCATTTCCCAGATCCTAGTCAGGCTACCTCCCATTTCTACCCTGCATCCAGCTCATTCCTACCACTAATCTACTCCCCACCATACTTATTAGTACAGATTAGGGTCTGTTAGGATTAAGGACAGAGTCTAGGTGAACTTAGGAGCTAGAATTACTCAAAATATAAATCCGAAATTCTGGACAGAAAAGTCGTCTTCACAAGAAACGACGTCGACAAAACACTAGCCGTTGGAATGTCGCGAAACTTGGATATGTTGTAGCTCTTGATCTCAGCTACCGTTCCCAATTTGAATCACGTTGATTGATGAAGTATTCGCGACGCTATGGCTTTCGACGCACTAGGGGGTAAGCTGTAGGAGGAGAACTTAACTCAATCTCAAGAGTTCAATCAAAGTTCAAGAATCTCACAAGGAATTTAGAAGGAGCAAGAGAAAGGTTGGGATAGGAAGAGAGGGATGAGAGGGAAGGTCCCAAGAGAGTCCCCAACCAAGGAAAACCCCATAAGCACAAAGATTCCCTCCCTATAGGAACCCCAACTTTGACATTTGTCCCTTCCCAACCAATCCATCCAAGTTGGCCACCCTTGCCAACCTAGCTTGGTTGTTCCCAACCAATTTGCAGCTGTTACAGTGAGTGACAAATTTCCCAAACCCCCAAAGGTCCCAACTCCATATAGAGTCACCCCACAACTTCACTTTGTAACCGCCGCAATTGTAACGCAAGCTCATGAACTTTGAATCTTCATAGCTTTCGCGTTCTTGCTCCGATTGAAGGGATTCTCGTTGCGTCGGAAAGATCTTCTCAAGATCTATCATCACAAAAAACCTGCTCAAACAAAATAACACAAAACACATTCCCAAACTCCAGAACACATCACACACAAATTCTTGCACACGTTCAAACCACACATGCAAGTTGAAAAAATATGGGATGGGAGGCAGACAGAATGTGATAGCATATGATGACATCACACAACAGGGTCTAGGCAGATCCAGATCGATTTCTATTGGATCGACTCAACCAACACACCTATTCAACAAACAAGCTCGACACCCCCAACCCATCCAAATTTCGCCAACACCCCCAACCCATCCGAATCTCGCCAACACCCCCAACCCATCCAAATTTCGCCAACACCCCCAACCCATCCGGATTTTCGACAACACCTCCAACTAGACATGGTTAAATCGCATCGCATCGCGTTATATCGCATTTTGCGATAGCGGTTTATCTTTTTTTTATAAAGAATATCGCGGCGATGCGATGCGATAATTTCGCGCGATATTTGCGATATCGCGTTTTTATCGCGCTATTCTTTGCGCGATAAAATGCGATAAGCGATAAAAATATATCGCGCGCGATACTTTCGCGTTACGCGTCGCGGAATTTCGCCAGCAAGGAGGGACATGGGCGAGGCCCCTGAACTTAGAGAAAATAGATGGTAAGCTAGTCTAGCTTTCTCTTGCTGAATGGCGCGCGGAAATGGCAAGCGGCACTTTGGGGGGAGGAGTTTGTGTGAGGAGCAGAGCTTGGAGCACATTAGAGGAAGGGTTGGAGATTCTAGATGGGAAGGAGTGCAGTGTGGTTGAGGGAGGGAGTTTGGTGGGGGTTCAAATTTGTTATGGTTGGTGGTGGGTGGTGGGCGAGTGGGTTTTCTGGATGGGATGTGGTGGTGTGCGGTTGAAGGGATTTAGGGGGTAGGACTGAAATCTCGACCCCCAAAGTCAATTGGTTGGAACTCCAACCAATTTCCACACTTCAACCGCACTAAACTTCCCTACATCTACAGAATCCAACCCCTTCCCCTCAACACGCTCCACATGAGAGGGACCACAATATTCCCATCTCCCGTCAATTCACTCACCTAATTCCGCGTGAACCTAGGAGAGCCACCATTGCCGTGCCCTTTGGTGTGGGAACACGTTTTTTAGGGCGGAAAAACAGTGGCCCCTAAATGCGATACGATATTATATCGCATCGCGCGATGCATCGCTTTTTGAGGCGATATTTTCAAATATCGCCCCCTAAAACGCGATATGCAATTTCGGTTTTTTTTTTTAACATATCGCAGCGATGCGATGTCGCATCGCTGCGATATAATGTGCGGTAAGAAAGAATGCGATGCGATATCGCATCGCATCGCGTTTTGACCATGTCTACCTCCAACCCATCCGAATTTTCGCCAGCACCCCCCCAAAACCCACCCAATTTTCGCCAACACCCGCAGCCCACCCAAAATCTCGTCAACATCCCCAAACCAGCCAAAAAATCACCAACCATTTTTTCGCTAACACTCCCAACCAATCAAACACCCATCCCGTGACTGGTTTTCGCCAACATTCCAACCCACATCTCGAGGTTGTGGATGGGAGGATGAGGTGGGTGTGTGGGCTAGACACGAGGAGACATACTGGATCTCAAAATTACGAAATCCATATGTTTCCCTCGGGAAAAAATACTTAGGTCGGGTCAAGTCGGCTCGGGTGGGGTTAGATCGACCCGACCCGACCACGAGTAAGAGATAACCCGACCTGTTACGGTCGGGTCGGGTCGGCGAAATCCTAGGATCGACCTGACTTGACCCGACCCGACCGACCCAAAACCCGACATCGGGTACGGCAAAGTTCGGGTCGGGTCGGGTCGAGTTTATGCTCAAGCCTAACGCCATGGCGTCTGTTGTCAGTCAGCTGGGAAGGCTAGCGTTAACCACACTCCTCCCCAATGGCTCCGAAGTCTGCTACAGGTTGTGGTGTAAGAAACAGGACTTTGATTGATTAAAATGAGAGAGGGTATACAAGCTTAAGTACTAACCATAGGAGAGGGTTGGAAGGGATAAAAGGAATCGGAGGGAATCCCAAGGGAATCCTCCCAAATCGTGGGGATTTGGGATGGATTGGGTTGGGATAGGTTGGAGATAAAAAAAAGCTACACCCAACCTAACAAACATTCCTAACCCTAAACAAACAAATGACTAACACACAAATGTGCAACATTGCAGCCTATCTCCAACACACCCCCTAGGCTGCAACGGCTGAAGTCATCGGGACGCCAAGACCCATAGCACGGAGGAGGCGGTAGTGGTCACGGCGTCCAAGAGACTTGGTGAACAGGTCTGCGAGGTTGCAGTCAAAAGAAATGTGCTTCACCCACAACTGGCCACGCTGGACCAACTCGCGCATAAAGAAGTGCCGAAGCTCGTTGTGCTTGGTCCGTTGGTGGAAGACAGGGTCTTTGGTAAGGTGTATAGTGCTCTCGTTGTCACACCATAGGGTCGGGGTCCGCTGAGGATACCCGAGCTCAGCCATGAGGTAGGTAAGCCATCGGGCTTCTTGGGCTGCCATGGTGCCTGCGTACAGCTCTGCTTCGCAGGACGACAAAGAGACGGACGATGAGCGTGTAGATCGCCAGCTGATGACACCACTACCAAGGGTGAAGCAATA